TTGAGCTTTCACCAACTCTTTTCTTCTTTATAATTGGAGAATGATTTTAATCTTCATTATCAACATCAATTTCGACTCGTTTATCTGAACCCAAAAGGCTACCAAAATTCTCGATGGCATACTAACAATGGGATCCCCTTGAAACAACTCATCATCAACAAGCCAAGTAGTATTATTCGGGAGGGCAGCATCTTCTAACTCTGTTATCCACTCATCATCTGAATCAATTTCATCAACTATAAAGGGATCCATCTTGTCTCTCCTTCTAATACTTCTCTCCCTTAATCTATAGTTGTACTTCACAAAGACCAAAGCATTCAATCTTGAATGTTCAAGTCTATTCTTCTTCTTCGTATGTATCTAAGAAAAAGAAAAGAAAAACATTTAGTAAGTTTAGTACATAAGAAAAGAAATAAAAATTATTTAGGTAGCTTATGAAAAAAAAATATTACCGACTCAAATGTGCTCCAATTTCTTTCACATCCCGAAGCGCTACAAGTAAGACTAAGAACCCGTATAGCAAATCTTATAAGCTCGGGTGTTTTTCCAAATCGTTCCCACCATTTTGCTAAAATAATGATAAGAAAAAAAAAATCAATAATTATTAAAGTCGTAAAAAATGCATGGAAAAAATAAACTATAATTATGAATATTATACCTGGAGAACACAACATTCTAGACTTCTTAGCAATTGGACTTCCAAATTCTCCTTGTGCATTGTCATAAAAATCTAATTGAATATCGGCTTGAAGGCAATCGTCGGGCGATAACATTCGGTCCATGCACGCACACAATCCATCTTTAACTTCTAAAGTATTGCAAAAGGAATCTTCATAACGCAATTGCAGGTTCATATAATATTTGGCTGCATGTAGGGGATGGTGAAGTTGTGGAGCCCATCTATCATCAATTTTTATCCAAATTAGCATATATTTTTTTTTAATTCTCCCCACAATTAACCTTAATGGTCTCCTTTGCCCTTCTCATGAGCTCATAAATATATTCCATGGTCGGCCTCTCTTCAAAATCAACCTCTTAAGACGCTAACAAGGGGCACAATGCTTTTAACACAAAATGCTACATGCGGCAAAAAATCTGGATCATTGGCGACAATTTTTTTGATAAGTTTTCCTTCAACTTTTATAGCTTGAGGAGAACTAACCCATTCTTCAGAAGCAAACATAATTTCAAGTGGCCTTTTTTGTTTGTACATGCTTTGAAGGGTTAAGAAAGCAGTGGCAAAGCGAGTTACCGCGGGATGAAGAAGCTCTTTCCCGTTTGTATTTATCCTCATCAAAGAAAGAATAGTGCCATGACCATAAATAAACTTCACAATCCTTTTAGCTTTTTCAATCATATCTAAAAATATGTTCAATTTTGCAATTGATTCCAACATGAGACCAATGCAATGTGCCGCACAAGGTGTCCACCATGAAGATTTTCGTGTCATCATTAACTTTTTGCCCGCCATTACACAGAGCATTATCAGTGATAACTTGGATAACATTATCCTCCCCTATCTCATTCACAATGTCATCAAGATAGTTGAAAATCAGTTCACCATTTTTGATAGAGTCAGAAACATCAAGGATTTTAGAAAAAAAGTGTCAGCAAGGCTATTCACTAGAAAATTTAGTAAAGCTCTGTTCTTCCCATCCGTCCACCCATCAGACATTATTGTACATCTATATGTTTTCCAAATTTTTTGTGCTCCTCATAAATAACATTAATATCACTCACCTCTAATTTAAGCAACTGCGTTCTTAAATCATGCATGGAAGGAGGTTTGAACCCTTTACCATATTCCCCAATTCCCTCAACCATCGGTAACCAATGAGGATCATTGACGACATTGAAGGAAAGTCCCGCAGAGCACAAAACGAGTAATTCGACGATCAGTCTCTTTTTTAATTTCTTTTTTGTATATTGAATTTATAGTTGTCTGTCTCGGTTCGGAATGGACAACTTGTCCAATGTGCTGGTGCCTTTAGAATGGCTAGCTATTACTTTCTCCTTGTGAAAACTCGTCCGTATCAGAAATTGATTGAGATAGTCTACTGCCTGTTGGACCCTCGCTAATCTCACGTAGCAATTCATTCCTCTTTCTTTTGAGAGTCTTGAAAGTTTGAAGATTGTCTCTAATTTTCTTGCTCACCTCAACTGGAACCTTATCACAAGGTGCAAAACCTTTCCGGGTTTGTGCTAAATGTTCTTTTATACAAGTAATGCCCCCATTTGATATATGATGGAAAATTTGCATTCAATGCTTTTCTCCCCATCTACTTTAATACCATATTTCCGGTCGATATCTCTATTTGTCGTCATTTAAACTGAAAATGGAAAAAAAAATTTTAACACAAAATCATGCTTGTTCACAAATCACAACAATAATTGCATATTTGACTGTAAGTAGAACAATAATCACAACATAACACAACCATAATCTCTTCACTCTTCAATTATAATTGACTCAGCTATTGTAACAAAATTGAATAGAGGTTGTATATTTCTTGAAACACAATTGACCCAGTTGTAAAAAACATAGGTTGCATATTATTTGATAAATAATCAACAAGCTCAAGCAATCATTTAATAAATGTAATTTTCACATAAACTTAACTCTTAATCAAATTTTAAGAAGTGTAATCAACAAGCTCAAGCAATCATTTAATAATTGTAATCAAATTTATTAAGTGTAATCTTTATATAAACTAAAATCTGAATCACATAAACTAAACTCTGATAAATAATAGGCTGCATAATATTGTAAAAAACAGAAACTAAACTCTGAATCAAATATGACTCACATAAATATAATCTTCAATACAACAAGCTCAAGCAATCATTTATATCTCACTCTATTAATTTAATAAATAATCATTCAATTAAACATAAACTTTAAATCATCAAATCATCAAGAGAATGAAGAAGAGGCCCAATTTTAATTTCAATTTCAATTTCAGTTTGATAAACTCCAATGAAAAACTAAATGTTACCTATGGAGTCAACCGAGGAGCAAGGGATGTCGGGTACAGAGAGCCAAGGAGCAGGCAGTTTGGGGGTGCCGAGAGTCGTGCGAGAGGCGAGGACGAGAGCCGGGTGAGAGGCGAGAACCGAGGAACCAAACGATGTTCTGAGAATCAGCTTGTGAGGAGGCTGAGGTGGAGACGTGGAGGAGGCGAAGTTCCTACTCTCACCGAGTTGTGGTGGGCCGTGGAGGTTGCAGTAGAGGCTGCGGTGGAGAGGCTGAGAAGGAGATGATAAAGAGAAGTGAATGAGGGTTTTTTCGTGACTGTGAGTCGTGACTTTGCTGGTTTCAATTTTACTTTTCTTTTTTTATTTTTTATTTTTGATTTTTTACTTATAAAAGTTGAAGTCCCAAATAGCGTCTGCAATGTACGTTATTACGTAAATAGCGTACGTTTTCGCGTAAAAAGCGTGTCACGTCATAAAAAGCGCACGTTATTACAGAACTACACAAAATTATGTGCGCTACAGCGCGTTTGTGATGAAATATCCGCTATTGCGCGCGATATAGCTAAAAAATGTGCTATTTTAAACACTGGTTATAACTACCGGTAGACAATATTTCAGCCAAGACTTGGTACAAAAATACAACATATACTTGAGTATTTCATCCTATCATTCACAGTCACATGAGTATCACGTGTGCATGACCATCGAACTCACTATCCACAAACCCCCCATTAAAACACGGTATATTATATTTATATCTCAACCAAAACAAGAGACACAACCAAACAACACAAGCGCATCATAACTAATCAACAAAACCAAAAATCACGCCTGCTGCACCTCAACCGGGTACTTATCCACGCAGTCGAACCACGGGTTCCCTTCACACTCCTTCTCCGGAATCCTCCTCAACGCCCTCCAAACCGCACTATTACACTTAAAACCCGACCCAAAAGCAATCTGCCACACCCTATCCCCTTTCCCCACCCGCCCCTTGGCCTCCACATATGCCAGCTCGTACCACAACGAGCTACTCGACGTGTTCCCAAACCTATGCAGAGTCATCCTCGACGGCTCCATGTCCCGCTCACTCAACCCAAGATTCTCCTGCACAGCATCAAGTACTGCCCGTCCACCAGCGTGCACACAGAAGTGCTCGAACGCAAGCCTGAAGTCCGGTATATACGGCCTCACACGAGCCCCCACCACTTTCCTCCTCACTAAAGTCAACAAGAAAGTCAACTGCTCGGACCACGGGAGGACGAGCGGGCCTAGGGTGGTTATGTTGGTTTTGAGGGCGTCACCAGCCACTGCCATGAGCCCACGGGCCAGGCTAACTCCCACGAGCCCGCTCTCGTCCTCTTTCTGGTACACGCATCCGTAGCTGCCTGGATCTGACCCGCGGTGTGTGCGGACGGTGTGGACGAGCCCGTACTTGGCACGGGCCCGATCCTGGGCCCGGTTCGAGAGGAGAACGGCGGCCCCGCCCATTCGGAAGATGCAGTTGCAGAGGAGCATGGAGCGGTCGTTGCCGAAGTACCAGTTGAGGGTGATGTTCTCGGTGCTGAGGACGAGGGCGCGAGTGTTGGGGGTGGTCTGGAGGAGCTGTCGGGCCAGGTCGATTGAGATGAGGCCCGCGCTGCAGCCCATTCCGCCCAGATTGAAGCTTTTGATGTCTGTTCTGAGCTTGTAGTGGTTGACGATCATGGAGGAGAGGGAGGGGGTTGGGTTGAAGAGGCTGCAGTTGACGATGAGAATGCCGATTTCGTCGGGCCGGGCCCCTGTTTTCCGGAAAAGGGAGTCGAGGGCGCCGAACATGACGGACTCGGCCTCGGCGCGGGCGGCCTTGAGGGAGAGGTCGGGAGGGGTGCAGGTTATGCCACAGGGGAAGTAGGTCTCGTCGCCAAGGCCAGATCTGCGAGCGATTTTCTCCTGGAACCGGACCGATTCTTCCGAGAAACCGCCGGTTCGCTCGGTCATCTTGAGGAACCCCTCGACCGAGAGCTTCCGCTCGTTTTCCGGTTTGTAGCAGGCGAAGTCGAGTAAGTAGACGGGGCGGGGCTTCTTGGTCCAGTAGATGGCGAGGAGGAAGATGAGGGTGAAGGAGCCGACAAGGACGGTGGCGGTGTCCAGGAGGAGAGCCGTCTGGGCCACGCGCAGGTAGTTGTCGGAGAAGAGGGCGGGGACGTCGAGGCGGAGGACCAGGCGCGTGAGTTGCACGCACGTGGCGGCGAACAGCGGCAGGCCGGCGAGGAGGATGAGGGCGGTGGCCGGGTTGCACGAGTAGCCGTACCCGAGCTTCACGTACTTGAGCTTCACCGACTGGAGGAAATCGGGGAGCCTCCGCCGGATTTTGATGACGCCCGACGAGGAGTCCTCGGATATGGCCACCTCGGCGAGTAGCCGCTCGCTGTCCATCTCTATGCTGTTGTTGCGGCCGTCTGACACCTCCATAGACGACAAAGGAAAGTAATTCGGGGAGAGGACCAAAGCCAAACACGGCCTTAGAGTAATAGGAGTTTGATATTCGAGGCAACACGCTATTAAAATCGCGGATAGAAGTTTGGCGAGAAAAAGGAAAATAAAAGTGAAATTTTATTGAAAAGGGTGAGAATAGTAGGGGAAGAAGAAGAAATTGCAGTACACAAATATGGGAAAAGGCGTGCGAATAAATAAAGACTGCAAATTAAGGGCAAAAAGTACACGAATCGGACGCATTCATTTTATTTTTTTGGTGAGAGAATGGTGTGGAGTGGACGGATGGGTTAGCGGCCTAATATTAGACAGTGAAAAAGGACATCCAGTATTTGAGTGCACGACAACAAAACTGGGCAAGAGTATATCTGTATTTGAAATTAAAAATAATAAACATCATACGTATGTTATGTATGTGTGTGTGGGTCAAAGGCCTAAATGTGGAGACCAAATTGTAGGTGGTGTTGGTGATCTGCGTGGGGTTTTTTCAAGTGGCCATGTGATATTGATGGGTTTCTTTCAACCAATAAACGCTTATGGATGTCCTACTTTTAGTTATTACTATTATTATTAGCAAATGGAAAATGAAATATTTGAAAGGTTTTTGTAATGAAATATTTGAGAGNATTTTTATTTTTGTTATCTTTTAATTCATTTATTTGTCTTACATATAAGCACGTTATTTAATCATCTTTGTAATATCCCACTATAAAAATTCAGAATGTCCGATGGTGCGATTAGTCAATAGTTCTGGGCCAGTTAGGATTTGCATTTTTAGTTGAACCGAAATTGGCCCAACAAGGCTGATTCACTAAATCAGCAGTTTTTCCAGTTTTCAGACTGTTGCAAAAATCTCCTTTAGCCATATTTCTCTCTTCTTGCAATCAAATCCTATGCACTCGTCGTCAATCCACTGTGTTTCATCACGACTTACCAATTCATCCTCTGTACTTGTTGTATGCCACCAATCGCTAACTGTTAAACCAATGAAGTCATATTAGCTATTTGACTTTCAAGAGAGGACACATTCACCTCATTCACCTTTCTCTGATAGGTGTAATGTCTTGAACTAAACTGCTGAGAGTTGGCCGCCATAGTGGAGATCAATTCTCTCGTTTGAGCAGGCGTCTTGTTTGCTATGGCGCCTCCACTAGCGGTGTCCATCATACGTCTTTCCATCGGTAATAGACCCTCATAAAAGTATTGAATGAGGAGTTGTTCAGAGATCCCATGTTGAGGGCAACACGAGCAAAGTTGCTTGAATCGTTCCAAGTAATCGTGGAGCGTCTCGACATCCTTTTGTTTGATTGAACAAATCTCCCTCCGAATGTTCGCTGCTCTTGAAGCAGTGAAATATTTATCGAGAAACAGGCGTAACATTCCGTTCCACGTGGTAACCGATCCAGGAGGCAGGTAAATTAGTCAATCCTTAGCTCTCTCGATCAATGACAACGGAAAGGCTCGAAGTTTGATTTGCTCCTCCGTGACACCTTGCGGCTTCATACTTGAACACGCCACATAGAACTCTTTCAAATGTTATGTGGATCCTCAGGGGCGAAACCATGTGTATGGTTGGGATGGCGCCGGCCCCCCAAAAAAAAAAAAATAAATCGAACTAGGGGTGAGGGATTTTGCTGGAACTGAAAGATTTTCCTTTGAGCGCGCATGTTGGGCCCTTCCCGATTTCATGCGGTGCATACATGGCCGGAGGGGCGCCACCGATTTTGTCGCGAAAATTTTGTTCACGTCGAATTGAAGGAATCTGGCTGGACAAGAAGAACTATAACAGCAGCAGAATTTAATATTTTTTTTTATTTTTATTATATTTTGAGTTGGTTAATTAGCCGACTTGCGGTGTACCGACAGGACTAAAAAACCGAGTCGATCATTACCGAAAAATAATTTTTATGAAAGTATGGGAAGCGGAGAGTGCGTTGGTGGCATCGATTTATGATTTTGAGCTCCCGACCATTTATTTTGGGTAGCCCGAAGTTGAGAGAAAAATGGCAGTGGCGGTGATTTTATTGTCATTTTCATGTCTAGACTTCGGGTAACCGTCGGCCCTCGTTAGGCGTGCTGAAAATTAGCGGGAGTGCTTCCTTGAAAGCACGAGAAGAGTAGAAATCGTTCGTAAAATTTATTTCACATTTCGAAGTTTCGAGCATTTATTTTGAGAAGCTCGAAGTCGAGTGCGCATAATAGAAGAATAAAAAGCCGTTTTGCGGGGTTCCGTAAGGTTGCGTGTGATCTCGGTTTAACGAGAATCGAGTTGGAGCGTGTAGACAATTCAAGCACGATTCTATGCGGACAAATTTCGCATTTTTCGAAGTTCCGAGCATTTATTATGGGAGTTTGAATTTCTGCGTTAAATAGTATCAAAATGAGCAAATTGGGGTGGTGCGCCGCGGGATGGCCGGAGTGGGGGTGGTGCGCCACGGCAAATTGGGCCCTCCCCGGTATGACTGGCTGGTTTCGCCACTGTGGATCCTCATTCTCAAGTCCATGAAACTTTGGAAGTATGTGAATGAGACCGGACTTGAGCTCAAAATCTACCTCTATTGTTGGGTACTTAATGCACAATGGAGTCTGTTCTATGTCCGGAGTAGTCAATTCTCGTAGCCTCTAGTTTCCGTGTGCCATAACCGGCTCAACTTTTGTTTCGATTTTCAAATTCAGAATCACTAGAACAATCCTCTAAATCAAGGGAAATATTCAATCTGGGGGAGGATGAAGAAGACTCTTGAGCACGAAGAAATTTAGCTTCTTTCCACATCCGCTTTGCAGTTTTCTCGATCTCTGGATAGTAGTCAAGTAGATTTCTTGCACGAAAAGAACGTGGCATCAAAGCAAAACTAATTTTAAATTCCAATCCCCGATAACGACGCTAAAAATTGATGGGTGTCGAAACCATTAATAATAAATTCCTACTCGTCTAAAATATAAAACGTAGTAGCAATGAGTATGGTCGTATCCACAGAGATTGGATGAAATGAGTTGATGCAACTATTTCGTGAAGGAATAATAAATAAATAGAAAGATGGGGGTTTTGATATGTTTGAACTACCAAAAATAATAAAAATTAAATTCAATTAAAATAAACACGAAGATGAAAGATTCAAGATTTTACTAGAGTAAATCACGGAGATAAAATATCCAACCAAAGGAAAAGTTCGTAGAAATAATTCAATGATTCGATCATAGATACAAAGATAATTCTCCTACTCTCAATTAAACTGGTTATGGTTGTTGGTACGACCTAATAACTTATCATTTCCTTACTTGTTCGATAACCAGGATACGATCTCTAATTATTTCTCCAATCAATAGACAGTCCTAGATACGATTATAGAATTTAATCTATTAACTGCATTAAAACATAGAAGGACCACCAATTCTAGCCAACAAACGCACATGTAGGATCATTTAGACTAGATCATATATCTCCTAAACATAAAACCGGAAACTCTTAGTAATCAACTATGTTCTTTGCCATATTAGAACAATCAAACAATTACGGATTTAATTTCCTAAATGGCAATATGCTATTCGGATAATTGAACAAAGAGCTCTTTTTGCATCAATCAACTAAAATAACAATTGATAATAAACACAAGAGACATACGAATTAAAGAGAATAGAGAATAGGAAATTCAATTAGATCTCACAAATCATGAAGAAACCAAATCAAGAATAATCATTTGGCTGGAAAAATAATTTAGCTATCCATAAATATGGTAGTCATATCCCTTTTCTTCTCTCTTCACAAAATCCTTTTTTTCTCCTGTAACCCTCGTCCTCGTCGTCGCCGATTTGTGCCTCTCTCAGCGGTCAACTGGCTTGTCGGTGGACATCTCTTTGTCGCACGTCTACAATTCTACTCGTGGTGCTCTTCCCTTTCGTCTCTGGCCGAGGGATGCAGATGGAGGTCTTTGGCAGATTTCTCAGGTCTGTGCTTGAAGGCCGCCGGCGCTTCTAGGTGGTGAGCCTGGGTGGAGTGCGGCGCAAGTGGCTGGATGCAGCTCGGGTTGCTTACGTCGTCCAAGTTCGGGTGACTCCTCTCATTGGCCTTTGCAGATGGTCTCGTTTCTGGATCTGCTGTTTTTGTCAACGCCGTTTCTGGATCTCTGATCACTGGCACTTTAGAGTGGTAGCGGATGGGCCGGGGTTTGTTTTCGAGGGCTGTGGCGGAGTGAACGGGGCTTTGATGCTGTTCGTGTTCCCTTCTCCCCTGTTCTCTGGTGTTGGGTCCAGGAGAGGACCAGCGTTGCCGGAATTGGCTAGTGGTGTTAGCCGGTTTTCGGGACGATGGTGGATTTGGAATGATTTTGGCATTTTTCGGCTGGAGAGCGGGTCGGTTCTTGGATTGATTCGGGGTGTGAGTCTTCGTCTTTGCTAGGCGTTCGGCAGTGGCGGGCGCGGTTCTTGTGCTTCGGATCTCTTCTAGGAGTCGTCTATTGTCCTCTCGTGCAATTTGGGCGTTCTGCCGAGAGAGGGCTTGATTATTTAGTTGTAGTTTTTTAGGTTTCTTTTTAGGTGTGTTTCATTTGTTTGTCTGTTTTGTCTCGTGTTTTTTGATTTGGGCCATTGGCCTCTGTATATGCCCGAATGAGAGCTGGTATTATTCCTTTGGGATCTTTGTCTATTCTTCTTTTGGGAGTTTTGTCGTTTTACTGTTTTAGTGTTTGTCATGTTCGTAGTGCTTCGAGTTTGTGTTTTGGTTTCTAGCGTTGCAAGTGTCGATTCTAGGAGGACTTTTGTTCTAGCCTCCCAGTTTATTCAGCTGTTGGTTGTATTATTCAGATTGAGACTGTACCTTTACGTGCGATTTTATCCATAAAAGTCTCTATCGTTCCGAAAAAAAAATATGGTAGTCTTCTCCATAATATTCATCCTAAAAATAATAAAAGACAGTAGAAATAAAAATGAACTGTAGAAATCTTGTGTCCGTGCGTGTGTCTCAAAGCAGATTCGCCGATAACAAATATAAAAAACGTCGAACTCAAGAGAAGAGAAAAATAGAGGATAGAGAAAAATAATACTTAGCAGTCTGATTTAATTATCACTAATTATAATAATGAAGTTAGACAGATTATTAGAAAATACTAAATATATTTATAAGTTTGTATATCATAAATCGATCAGTTGACCAACTAAAATATATGCAAGCAATAGAAAAAAAATTAAAAAAATCAACAATTAAACAATGAGAATCAAATTAATTCAAAATTTAAAAATATGATCAATATTCAATTCCAGTATATTAGAATAATTATTATTTCATACTAAAAGTGTCTAAATGTAATAAAGTATTTAAAATAGATTATAGTATTATTTCCTTATAAATACATATTTGTAATTATTTATTTAATTTTTTAATATTGGAAGGTCTACATATACCACACAAATCTGTTAAGGGTGTTGCTAAATACCGCACCTTATTTTACTAAATACCGCACCCAAAAAAGACAGTTTTGCCCTTTTTAATTTTTAATTTTTTTTTTCTTTTTCTGCTGGCTGGCCACTAATTGCTGGTGTAACTCGCGCGGTCGGCCGCTAATTGCAGCCACCACTGGCTCGGCCGCAACTCGCTCGGCCGCACCGTAATTGCGGCCGCCTCTCGGCTCGCCGGCCCTTAATTGCGGCCGGCCCAATTTTTTTTTTATAATTTAAATATTTTAAAAACTATATAATTTTTTAACAATATCAAGGAAAAATTACATTTTGCCTATCTAACTATCCGGAATTTTACACTTTGCCTACCTAACTTTGATTTTTTGTACACTTTGCCATTTTTGGTCACCGCCAGCCACACGTGCCAATAAGGCACAAGAGCCACGTATTGATTTATGAGGCCGACGGTGACCGGAAATGGCAAAGTGTAGCAAAAAATCAAAGTTAGGTAAGCAAAGTGTAAAAAAAAAAAGTTTTGTAGGCAATGTGTAAATTTCCGGATAGTTAGGTAGGCAAAATGTAATTTTCCCTAATATCAAATATCAAAGAAACCAATTAATAATTATTAAAGCAAGTTGCTACAATATTTATAGTCATTCCTTGACTTTCATTGGACTTTCTCATCCAATGTAGGATAATTGTAAATCAAATGTTTCAGTCTCCCAACCTTTTATAGCCACTTTTGGCCTTTATTATTGTGTTTGTAATCGATGTGGGATTGCCCCATGCCTCTAGCCTTTTATAGTTACTTTTTACATTCTTTTTTGCTTTCAAAATCAATGTGGGACTAAATGATCCATACTTTAACACACTTTCACTATGTATGTCAAGATGAATATCACATTATCATTAACTAAACTTATTATTATCTTAAATTGATAAATGATTAAATTTAACTAAATGAACATAAAATATGGAAAAACATTATGGTTTTTACATAATAAAAGAAAATGCACTTATCATCCTATTTTCATTTTTTTTATAAATGATATAATTTATATATCTATTAAATATTTAGAAAAATGTATAATTTTTTATTATTATTATTAAATATGTTATTTATTAATAAATGTGTTATTTGTAATTAATATATATATATATTAGTGAAATTATAATTAGTATTGTAATATAAGTTGAAAAAAATGTAAAATTTATTAATTAATTAGTTTGTATGATTATATAATCAAAAAATATTATTTTATTAATTAATATATTAATTACATTTTTATATTAAAAAAGTATATATTTTATAATATATTATATATATAATATATTAATTATAACTAATATATTATGTTAGTTATAATTATAACTAACATATATACTTAAGTAAGTAACATATTTAATATATAATAATAAATTATATAATTTTTAAATTATTAAAACATATATAAATTATATTTTTTTTATAATCAAATATTTATTTATTATATAAATTATATTAGAATTTAGATATTATGTTATAAATTAGAATTTATTATCTTATAGTTAGAATTTAGAAATTATTATATTATAAATTATAATTCATTATGTTATAGAATTTTATTATTATTATGTTAAAAGTTAGAAATTATTAGGTTATATAACATATGTTAGAAGTTAGAAATTATTATGTTATATATTAGAATATATTACAATTTTCATGTTCATTTAGTTAAATTTAATCATTTATCAGTTTAAGATAATAATAAATTTAATTAATGATAATGTGATATTCATCTTGACATACATAGTGAAAGTGTGTTAAAGCATGGATTATTTAGTCCCACATTGATTTTAAAAGCAAAAAAGAATGCAAAAAGTAGTCATAAAGATTTGAGACAATCCCACATCGATTACAAACACAATAATAAAGGTCAAGAGTGACTATAAAAGGTTGGGAAAGTGGAAACTTTGATTTGCAATTATCCCACATTGAATGAGGAAGTTAAATGTAAGACAATGAATAGCTATATATATTGTAGCAACTTGCCTTAATAACTATGAATCAGTTTCTCTAATAATTAATAGTAGTAAAAAAAATTATATATTTTTTTAAATATTTAATTTTTAAAAAAAAAGGGTCGGCTGCGCGCGGCCGAGCGAGTTGCGGCCGCTGTTATCGGTCGCGTGCGGCTAGCCGAGTTGCGGCCGCAATCAGCCTTCGGCCGGTCGAGTTGCAGCCGCAATCAGCGACCGGCCGGTTCAAAAATAAATAAATAAATAAAATAAAATGTTGGCTCCAGTCCGGCCGGTTTGACCGGCCGACCCCCGCATGACCGGTCTTATTGGATAGCATTTTTCGCCGGAATTATTTGGAGGTTTCGGAATTTTTCGGTGCTCGGTTCGGCCGATAAATAGGTTAGAAGGTGGGACATTATTTTTTTAAAAAAAATAAGAATAAAGGGCAAAACTGTCATTTTAGGGTGCGGTATTAGTAAAATGGGTGCGTATTTAGCAATTCAGATCTGTTAATTGAGTAGGTTTTATTTAATTAGGTTTTATTTAATTAACTAAGCGGTTTCCTATACCTAATCGGAAATATACTAAAATGAAAATATTTATGAAAGGTAAGAAACATATAGACATAAGATTTGGCATCTCGAAAACGCGTAGCTTATTCTTGTTTACTTGGAGCCCAATCAACACAATTTTCCGCCACATCACCTCCCATAAATCTCTGACGGAATTCTTCCAAATCACATCCGAAAATAAAATCAATCTCCCAAAACAGAGAAAGCCATGAACTCTCCTAATATATCTTCCGATTTCAGTACTGGCGTCTCGATAAAACAGAGCGAGTACCAGCAGAGATTGAAGTGGCTATCGACGGCCAGCAAAATCGTCCACCTCGTCTGGAAACTCGATTCCAACAACATCCGATGCGTAGCCGATGAAATCATGAGCCACGACGTCGTCTGGTGCCGCGGCCCTTTCTGCCAGGCCGTGATGCTCGCGCAGTCAGCCTCCCCATCTCTGACCACTCTCTACGCCGCCTTGGTGGCCGCCGTCAACTCCAGATTCCCGGACGTGGGCCTCCTGCTCGTGAAGCGCGTGGTTTTACAGTTGAGGACGGCTTACAACAACCGTGACAGGAAAAAGTTGCTGGCGGCCTCCAGATTTGTGGCTCAGCTAGTGAACCAGGAGGTCGCGTACGAGGTCCTTGACCTGGACGTCTTGCAGCTTCTGTTAATCGGACACAGTCACACAACAGTGTATGTTGCCGTGCGATTCTGCGTGGAGTGCGGGTCGTTGTTGAAGGAGCGGGCACCGTACAGGCTGCGTGTCATTTTAATGGAGTTCCGTCTGATGCTGAGAAAAGGGTCGCTGAGCAGGCGGGCCCAGGTGTCGATTAAGAGGCTTTTGGGGGCGGCTAAGGGGAACAGGTTCAGGAGGTACTCGGAGGGGCTGGAGGTTATTGTTGAGGATTGTGAAGGAGTTACTCACGAGGTGTCGTTGTTGCATGACATTCGGGCCGAGTCGAGCCTCGACAGCTTTCAGTCGGGCCATGCATTCGATGATGAGTGTGAATTATTTAGTCGGATGAAGATTGGGGATGGAGATGGTGATGATAGTGGTGATGGGTCTTCTCTGGGATTATGATGGATATGAGTGAATATAAGATGAACAAATTTTATTCATGTATGATTATTAATACTGTACATCTTTTCTCTTTTTCCCAATTCCCATGTTTTGGCTATATGTAATATACTCAATGCTGCATGCTTATTGTGTAAATTTTCGTTTCTACTAATCCATAAATCAAGAAGTCGTGATGGTTATATACAACATAGAGTCAACTGTTGACTACATGCACAAATCGGTAGCTTGCATCAATACAGTGGTGTTAATGCATAACAGAAACTTCTAAGAATTTATCACAAATATAAATGTGATTTTTCATCACTATGGAGTCAACTGTTGACTTCATATCAAAACCGTGTAATTTATATTTCCTTGACTTCACCTACATTAATTTTAAAAGGATCTACAATTTGAAACCGACAGTGCGCACTTTTACCTTATGCCTATTTGAAACTCGGTTCAAACTCATCTCATTGTAATTAATGTACAGGTAAATTGACGAAATAGTTCCCTATCATTGTTGTACTGATTAGTTCCATAACTTTCGTGGCCGTAAATATTGCACGCATCACAATTCTGGCCTTGCGAGAATAAAATGTTTTGCCTAATCATTTTTTTTACTAGTATTTTGCTAACAGTTTGATAAGTAATACCATCATAACACCCATATAAATGTAAATTAAGAAATTTATAGTTGTCCTTTTAAAAAAATGACAAAATATTTTGTTTGCAATTTTGAAAAAATTATAAAAGTTGTATTGAGAAACCGTCGCCCCAACACTCGTTTATTCTATAATAAAACAGTTTTCTAACTAATATCATATAATATTTTTTATATACAATATAGATGTGAAATTGAAAATTTTGAAAACACAACAACTTTGCTGTTTATATATAAAAAAATGAGGCTGTATAAAAAAAGAACTTTTCGTTAGGTATTTTATATATTTAAAAGTTAATGGATAAAAGTGTATATCTTCGTAGACAACGTCAATTCACCACAAATACTTGCTGACATAGATCGATACGTGATTAAATAGCAGTAAAATAATATTTTGGCTCGATATACCTTGCAATTATATAGAAGAGGGATTAAAATCGATAATTTTAAGATTATATACAAGTTGAGAGTCCGACCTTAATACTCTTAGGTGTTTCTAGAAAAAAAATCTCAAATGATGAATCACTGTTAATTTGGCGGAATGCTCCAATCTTCTAATCAAGATTGCCATACGAACTATTGGCAAACCTTAGGACATGATTGTTTATAATTTTTTTAATTGTGTTTTTCGATTAACCCAAGATAATTTTAAAATAGTTAATTGGATCCCCTGTTTCAACATCTATTGGGGGCAAACCCTAGCCGCTTACCGGCGGAGTCAAACCAGAACTCGAAACCCTGCTGCTGAATATTCCCGATTATTGACACACCGTCCGCGGCTGCAAACGCAAAGCAGTAAGTACCGTTGGTGTCCACCGGAAGCAAGCAATTAATATTTTTTTAATTGTGTTTTTCGATTAACCCAAGATAATTTTAAAATAGTTAATTGGATAAGGTTTGAGTGAGATTTTAAATTTATATTAAAATAAAATGATTAAAGTTGATACGATATCAAAATAAGAGAGATGTGATTGAAATTGACTGATAGTTAAAATTACGTGAATTGAATTGATGAATAATGAATTAAAATTGATGTAATGGTTAAAGATAATTAATTAATACTATTTAATTCTATTAATAATAGTGAAGAAATAACAAAAAAATAATAATAATAATAATAGTGAAGATGGTAAGATTAAGTTAAATTTGAGTTTAAGATTGAAGTTAAAAAAAAATAATAGTGAAGAAAAGTTATTTAATTAATATTTCCCTCAAGGGCAAATCTAAGCTAATAATAAGGAAATGCTACTTGCTACAATCTTGTTATGGAACTATTCCGTCGAGATTTATAACCGTTAGATCATCATGTAACCGTCTTAGATAGTTGATGTAACGGTTATCAATCCCAACGGAATGGTTCGTAACGGGACTTTAGAATCTCCCAATAATAAGATACTAATCGACCAGAAATTTAGATCTTGGATTGCTTGTTTAAAAATAAGAAAATATAAAAAAAATAAGAAGAAGAGAAGAAAGTACGAATCTAGTTGACAGCTTCATTATATGTATGTTATTAGTCCAAGCACTCATAGGTGCTAAGTAGATTTATTTAGTTATTTATTTATTTATTTTTTTTTTTTTGAGAGAAAAAGAGAACGTTGAAGGAATTGGGGTTAGATCTGAATATCAAGGCAAAGATTCACCATTACTTTGAATGCTGTAAAAATCATTACCTAAAGTCAATTATCTGGTAATCATTACTCCAATCTGCGGCCGGCACCAACCAAACTGATCCACAACTTCCCACAATCATTAATCTGAAATTTTTTCATAAATCAGAAATCAGTAACCTCAAAATCTGGCAGAAATTAGTTTATCGTCACAATCCGAATCCTGGAGGAGCCAATAAAATTGGGGGGAATGAAGCCTGGTCCGACGACCACATATTATATAATCCCAGTCAATATTTATTCATTGATTGAATAATTATTTGACATAAATATATACATATATTCCTCGAGCCAGACAACATTCCCCTCAAATATGAACTCCTATTTTGCTCATCCACCATCTCAATAACTGTATAATTTCATCTTAGATATCTCTGTGTTTGTTGTATATATATATATGTGTGTGTGGGTTAATTTGGTGTATCGTTTTGTGGCCTCACATCTCAATTATCCCCCAAAACTTTCGCCTTCTTTCTAGGGAGAGAGAAAAATGGATTTGGTGTTAGCTTGTTATAGACAGGCCTTATAACAGAGAGTGAAAAGTGTTGGAAATTAAAAGTTGAAAAGAAGACAAAAACTGTGACCCCACCAGACATGACTGCAATTAATTCATGCACACACACCTGCACCGCTTACTGCGTGTATTTTTCAATTGTAAATTGTGCTATTAGATTACCTAATGATTAAATAGTCATACATTTTTAATAAATATGTGTATATATACTTATATTATGAAATGTTATATGTTTATTTACGTGGTTATTTTTAAATGTATGACATTTTAAGTGTCAAAGT